CCATCTCCTCCAGCCCCCAGAGGGCAGTGGCAGGCACCTGGTTTCGGCCACAGCAGGGCCTTGCCTCTCGTTCCAGCTCGGCCAGCTGGGCCACCTGGCTTAACCACAGCTCAGCTTCCTTCTCTGTGAACATGGCGATAACAGTACCTGCTTCCAGGGTCAGAACTGCAGCGAGAGGAGGGGGTGCCTAGGGCATGGTATGGAAGGAGGGCCTCGCCCTCAGCAACTTGCAAGTGCAAGGTCACCCTGAGACCTGCCAGCCCGGTCCTCGCTTTATCCTCCCTAAATTAAAAACAACCTCGTGCAGCGAATAATATTATTATCTCCCATTAAAGGCGAGGAACCTTGGCTTGGAGAGGTTGCGCAAGTCCCTCCAGCTCCCACAGGCAGTGAACAACGGACAGAGCTGGGACTCAAGCCCAGCCTGCCTTAAGACAGAGCCCATCCCCAAGTTCAAAGGCAGTTTCTTGAGGATCCTGGACAGCGGCTGGGGAGGAAGGAAGAGAAACAGTGTGTCTCTGGTGGTCTGAAGCTGAGGTCCTGCCTCACACAGAGAGAAGCGGCCTGGGCCTGCGTGGGCGGGGGGAGTCGGGGCTGCAGGACCTCGTCCAGAGATAAATCTTACCAGGTCAGCCCCCGCGCCGCCTGCCCACCCTGCAGCCCCGTGGGTGGCCGGGACGATGCTGCAAGCTCTCCCGGATTGGATTCCTCCCTCCCACTTGCTCTGGCTTCACCACCTCAGCCTGGGTGATGGATGGGTCCCCAAAGCGCAAAAGGAAACAGGCTGAAACCTCCCTGGCCAGGAGGCCCCGAGCCAGCAGCCCTGAGGGCCCAGTGAGGACCCCCAGTGGGGAAGCTGGGCTCACAGGAAGGGGCGGGGCCCCGAGGCCCCAGTTTAACTGGGCATCAAAGTCAGGAGCGGAGCCTCTGCTAAGTTAAAGGGCCAGGGGGCCTGGCTCTCCGGCCGAGCTCCTGACTCCGAATAAAGAAACAGGTGTGGGAACAAGCTCAAAGTCATCTCGGCGCTGGGCGGGGCCTTTGGAAAGCAAGTGCAGGAGAGGGGAAGCAGGGAACATTCTAGAAACTAGCGAAGCCTTCCTGAACCTGTGCCCAGTGCTGAAGAAACCAACAGTGAGTGAGGAGTCTGGAACTGAGGTGCTCACAGCCCTGAGAATATCAGCTACAGCAGCTCCAAAGAACATCTCCCGAGCACGCATTCATTACGCAGCGAGCCGAGCGCACATGATCGCCTTAGCACTACAAGGAGGGCACGCGCGTTCCGTTGGACAGTTCAGGAAACCAAGGCTGGAGAAGTGGGGGGCCAGCATGAGGCGTCCCAGCCCGAGTGCCGAGGACCCTGGGTGTCCCAGGCTGGGACCAATTGCCTTTTCCACTGCCTTACAGGTTTGCAAACCTTTTTTTTTTTTTTTTTTAGCAAGAGAAACTTTCTTTAAATGTAGAGAAATCCAGTGTGTGAAACAAATCAAAGCAGAGCTGAAGGGGCCGGAGAGGGGGGTGTCAGACCCTGCCCCCACCAGCTGGGGTGATCAAAATGTCCCTCCTGAGGCAGGAAGGAAGCTCAGGCCTAGTTCTGAGCGATCTCTCTGTCTGGAGGCCCCCGCTCTGGCCGCACATGGGCAGAGCGCAGAGCAGCCGGGGCCAGGGGCCCGCATGGTGCGGCCTGCAAGGCTCCGGCCTCCGCCCCCTTGCAGGGCCCTGGCTGATGTCTGCGCTGGGCGGTGCTGCTCGGTCCGTCCAGCACGACTGCGAGGTGCCGCTCTGGGCCAGGCCCTGGACGAGGAGCGCCGCCCACCGGGGAGTGCAAGGCTGCCTGCGGCCCCTCCGGCGCAGAGCTTGAGTCCGCAGCCTTTAGCAAACACACTCCCATGGGTCCCGTGTGGTGACCAGGGCTATGACGGACAAGCTCAAGGTCAAGGGGATGTGTGAGCAGAGGAACCTGATCAGTTCACCTCTGAAAAGGTCACCGATGAGAATTCTGGGCCACGGAGCAGCTCAGACCAACAGGAAAGGAGACGGCTGCCATCAGTGGGGGCAGCCAAGCTCCAGGGACAGGCAGGGCGGGCGGAGGGGTGATGCCGGGCTCTTGCTGCTCCCCAGGAATTCCCTAGGCAGGTAAGAAACAGTAAGTTGTCCCTAGGACGAGCAGGAGGTACCTGGTCCTACAGAATCTTTACATTCCTCAATCCCGAAAGGGACAAAGAAAATCCTTCTAAGGGTTGCATTACTGCAAAAGTAGGACTTGGTGCAATGAATAATGAATATGTGAAAACACAATTAAAATGGGACGTCATTAAACAAATGCAGTATGTCACAAAGAGTCTAATCTAAATCCACCTAGGGCTGGTCTACACCTTAGAAAGAGCTGTCTCACTCCCCTGCTCCGGGCCTGGCCTGGCTCCCATGGTCATTTATTTAGCAAATATTGAGCAAACACCTGGGTTGGACAGCACACCAGCTCCCCCAGCACATGTCTGGCGCAGAGCCAGGGCTGTGTAAACACGTGGTGCTCTCTGCAGGGCGGGGAGACGGGATCCCGTCCTGCCACCTGCTGTGGCCGCCTCCCCTGAGTTTTCTGGGGAACAGAAAACGCGGGACGGGAGCAGGTCAGGGAGAGGCCAGGTTCCCAGCGCGGGTTCCCGTCAAGCACATTCCGTGTCACACGGATCTTGGAGTCTGGGGTGCTGAGAGGAGAGGGGGCTGTCCGGCTTGCTGGCTCGTTTCTCTGCAGAGGCCCACACTCCTTGCCCCATGCCCAGCCCCACCCTCCTGGTCGCCCCGCCTGGAGGCCACTGCAGCGGCCGCTCCGCGCCGCAGGCTCCTCTTCCTGGGCCCTCTGGCCCGCACACCTCCCTTCTGTGTGACGTCCGGGTGGTATTTGTGTCCTCCATCTGCGCCCCCACCCAAATGCCCATGTCTTGCTGGAGGGCTTGTGTCTTATTTGCCCATGTGTCCAGGGAGGAGTGCGCGACAGTCGGTAACAAACACTGAGCGGACGATTGTAGGCAAACACGCAGACGACACCATCTTCACGCTCGTGAATTCAGACAGCTGTCGGTCCTCTCTCTCAATCTCTCGTCTTCTCTTTCTTATGTGCACACTCCACACACGCCTCTGCACACTCTCTCTGACTCCCTTACTGACACTCACCCTTCCTGCTGCATAGTGTCCTCCTGTGTCGCGCTGGTGCCACCTGGGGGCACAGACCCACTGCAGTCAGCTGAGCGGGGAGCGTCTGCCCTGGCCCCGGGAGGGATGGCCGGGGGCACCCGCTCTGGACACAGGCCCATCTCGGTCCCTGACCAGTCCCTCACCTCTGGTCACAGCAACACACTCCGTAAAGGGGTCCCCGTCTCGGCAGCCTGGATTCTGGCAACAGCGGGTGCGGGGCGGGGGGGGCGGCGCGTGTGGACAGGCGGAAGGTGCAGACTCATTTTACACACGAGGAAACAGAGGCGCAGCGGGGCGGTGGCTTGCCCAGGGAGCAAGACCAGAGTTGAGATCCAGGTCTCCTAACTCCGACCCGAGTGCTTCCTGCTGAGCTTCTGGGAAGCAGAGACTGGCAGAGGGTGCCACCCATCACCCCTCACCCGAGGTCGTAGTACCAGAGACATGCGGAGGGGGGCCCTCAATTTGTCTGCGAGGACTGAATGGCGGGACTCTGTGCGGTCCCCTAAGCCCTCTGCCTTCTCCCCCTCACCTCAGTCCATCACGCTCGGGGCCTCCACGATCCTGCCCGGCAGCTGACCCTCGGGCCACCTGCGCTTCCTGGAGGAGTGCCCCAACTCAGGAGTGCAGTGGGGACAGAACAGGGGTGACAAAAGGGCCCGAGACAGGAGATATGCAAATTCTCACCATCATCCCCGCCCACATCTGCCTTTCGATCCACAGCAGGCCAGGCCCGTGGGGTGGCCGGGGGCCTGAGCCATGCCATTACCGCCAGCCACACAGAGCCGTCCTCTTCGCTCGTTGTAAAGTCCTGATCACGGTTTGCGGGTCTCCCTCCTTCCCTGAACCCCCCCTCCCTGCTGCTGCCAATGCCTCTCCCACCCCGAGCCTCGCCTCCTGTACCAGGGAGCGAGTAGTTAAAGACATTTCTCTCAGCCAGTGAAGCTACATCATGCTGCCGCTGCCCCCTTTAAACACGATCTCGGGAAAGTTTGCCGGAGTGCCCCCAGCACCTCACCCTCCCTGGTCAGAGTGGAAGGTGGGGCTCCAGAGGCAGCGACAGCCCCTGAGGCGCAGCTGCCCCCCTGCCCTGGGGCCGCGTTGCAGCCTCGCAGTCCCAGCGTTAGTCCACAGCCACCCTCTGTGGCCGCCGGGGAGTCAAACCTGCAAACTGCCTGCCTCCCCAGTTCTCAGAGGGCACAGACATCAGCACAGGCAGGAGATGCGGGGGCCAGGGATCCAAGGAAGCGGGAGGTCGACCAAAGCCCCAGAAGCGCAGCGATGGGACCGGTGAGAGGAAGCTCCCGGTCCACCAGTCCCAGAGCTGCCGGGGCCGGGTCCCCCGGTGCAGGGACAAGGGTGACGACCCCTTGACATCTCCTGCTGGCCCCTCCAGCACCTCTGTTCCTCAGAGTTCCTCACAACCCACCGCACCAGATCCCTCTTTCATCAACAACACACAACGCTCCGTGGGTAACTTCTTGAAACTCTGGTCACGGCTAAGCGGCGCCCAGGGCTCTGGGCAGGGTTCGCTCCCCAGCCCGCCTGTGACCAATCAGCCACACACCACCAAATCCATTTCCCGAGTTCCAGGCAATTAGAGCCAGCTGAGCTCCCTGGCCTGGTGCCCGCCTGCTCCGCGCCAGGACCCAGGGTGTCAGCAGCCCCGAATCCCAGCCACTGATTTCTCCCACCCTCCTCTGAGACCCAAGCACACCAGACCGGCCACGCCGGCCACGCCGGCCACGCTGAGGCCCCTTGAGCAGCCAGATCACAGCAAGACAGAAAATGAGGGTCAAGGCCAGGCTTCCTACCTTTGCTGAGGGTCCCGGTGATGAGCTTAAAGACGGTCTGGGCAAATTTCACGAAGCCGAGCTTGCATCTTTTGGAGCAGCCGCTCATGGTGGCAGAAGGAAGGCGGGCTCTGCTGTCCGTGCCCAGAAGGGGAGGCTTCCACACGGTGCGCCCCCGGAGCCTGGAGCCTGTCTGGGCGAACCCTGAGAGATGGACGCACCCCAGAAGCTCCTGGAACAGCACAGCTGCCTCTGCAGTGAGTCTGGCTTCTGCATCCAGAGAGCCTGCCGGGCACGATGTTTGCTCCCTTCCTCCGTCCTTCCCTCCACTCAAGTCCGACCCGCAGGAGGACCTCAGGATGGCAGAGCTGGGACGCGCTGCCGGGGCACGGGGCGCGCAGAGGGCACTGAGGAGGAGAGTGAAGCGGAGCAGAGCGGGGAGGGAGGAGCTGGCGCTCTCCCAGGCTTCGCTGACTGTCGTTCTTACATGGCAGTGGTAATGTAGCAATTAATACTCCAGCCAGAAGGGAGGGGACTGCTACGTAAAACACTCCGCTCTGCCGCTTCCCCGGTGGCTCTCCTGCTCGCTGGTTAATCTAACGGATCAATTTTCCGCGCCTCCATCAGGATCTGGGGGAACTCCCCACAGAGCAGGAAGCTGCCGCTGGGTACTCAGTGGCAAGTTTGCAGGCAGCCTCCCAGTGGTCTGGTTCGAGTCACGGAGAAGTCGGACTGAGGGGGCAGCACCCGCAGCAGCGGCTTCCTCCTGCCTCTGACAGCCTCCGCTCCAGGTGCCCAACTGAGAGTCAGCTGCTCCGTTTCAGCCGCTGCCCCTGCAGCGCAGGCAAGAGTCTGTGCGCTCCCATCGGATAGGAGAGAAGTGCGATCTGGGCTTTTTTGGGCGAAGAAAGCAGTCCTCAGAAATGCAATAAAGGAATGGCCAACATCCACACAGACTGACGACAGTACGATCCTCTTAGAAGTGAAAGTGCACGGCAACTTGCAATGTGAAGTCCAACTATGGCTTAACGAAAAGTCTCTTCAGTACCACGGACTGTGACGGTTGCAGGGGACCTTCAGGGACATCTCATCCCTGCCTCGGCACAAGGCATTACTGTCCTTGCTGTTTCAAACGGTCCCCATGGGCCACCACCCCGAGCACCGTGGACCCATGCGCTGTGGCTATGCAGGAACAGCAGCCGTGGAACTCACCCTGGGAAGGAAGGTCTTTCTCTGTCCTCATCGGCTTGCCCCGCTGTTAGCTGCTTCTCTGGGACGTTTGAGAGGGACGGGTTGCCTAAGAGCCAGAGAATGCAGACGACCAGTGGATAAAATACCAGAGGGGCTGGAATTCTTGCTCCACGTCTGGTTTCTTCCCCAGCTTCCATGGGTTCGGAGGAAGTGAATCTTTAAATAAACCTCACCTTAAGGGTGGTCCCCATCACACTTCAGCTTCAAGAACAGACCCCGGAAACAGCCTACAAGCACAGAGCCCTTCCCCAGCCCCAAAGGGGCCTGGGCGCCCTGACTCACCGGCACGGAATGAGTCACTGCAGTACAACGGCAAGGAGCCCGGGCAGGAAATGCCCATTGTGCTTAATGTCTTAGGTGTGGAAGTTGCCCCGTTATTCGCTCATTGTCTTAAAGCATCGAAGGTCCCAGTTAAAATGCACACGGTACGTGGGACTGTACCTGGCACTGTCATGTCACTCGGTGGTGGCTGGCCCCGATTCAGCGCTAACAGGAGTCCCACGTTAGCCACCAGCAGCCCTTCCTGGTAGGCATTTACTTCCTCGGGGTCGACAGTCTTTTGTTCACGTACTCACATATCCAGCATTTACCAAGCTCCCGGTTCGTAGAAAAGAGCTGAGCAGTCAGGGTGCAGGAAGCACCGAGGGCCCAGGATGTAAAAACGCCGCGTTAAGCCAGCTAGACAGGCATGGCCAGTGCCCTCTTGGAGCTTCGGGTGGGGTGGGTTTATCACCCAACACTAAGCCCTTGTGGCAGATCCATTTACCCAATGACCTTTGTTCACTTTGCAGCATCTTCATGGGCAGGCAGGTGTTCCGGAGCAGAAGGAAAGAACTAGGTCAGGGTAACTGCTTGGCAGGCGAGGGCCAGGCAAAGGGCAGGCCTGCCCTGACGCTGAGGAGGAAGGGGAAGGCTGGGGCACGGAGGTCTGGAGAAGGCAGAGGATGCAAGCCTGCCTGCCTGGGTCACCAGAGACGGTGCTGCCCGCTGAATGAGAGCATCCGCTTGGGGGGACCTGGGACCCGGCGAGGCTCAGCCGCGCCTCTCTCCCATCTCAAGCGAGAAAGAGAGGCACTGAGAGTCGGCAACCCCGGAGAGACATGGCCGTGACTTCAGTGGTGTTAGCCGACCCGGGACCGGGTCTTCCCCCTGGAAACCCGGCCAGGAATCCTGCTGGAGGAGCAGCTCCCAGAAGGCAGGCAGCGGCACCTGCGTGGGGAAGACAGGAGACGTCTGGGTGGGGGGCGGGTCTGCATTTAGCCTCCAGCTCAGGAATCTGGAGTCCCATCACCTGAACTGTGGGGTGGGGGGAAGAAACAGAGGCACCTATTATCGGAAGGATCCAGAAAATTCTATGGTTAAGAGCAGGGAACTTTGCATCAAGGGCTGACTCACTCACTTGCTCAGTCTCTACCTTTGTAATCTACGCATATGGACATCCCATCCCCTGGACCTCTGCTCCAGGCGCCAGGTACGTAGTGGTGGACAAAGCAATGTCCCTGGGCTCATGGCATTTACACCGATATGGGACGACGGTTAAGTCAACGACTGTACCTTCGGACAGGATTGTGCCTTGAAGGAAAAGAGAGCTAAGTGCGTGGAGAGTGACAGGAGCTCCTACTTCACAGGGTCATCGAGGAAGGCTTCTCTCTATGAAAATGGCATTTCGGCAGAGGCCTCAAACCGGCCGTACAGCTCTTGGGGCCAAGAGAACGGCAAGTGCAAAGGCCGCAGACAGACCTGAGATTCGAAGGTCCGTAATTTAGCAGCCGTTGAGCAAGCAAGTGAGCCTCAGTGTTTTCTTCCGCAAGATGGGGATAATATTCCTTACCTCACAGGGCTTCGGGAGGTTTGAATGAAATCAATGTGCTTGACATCAGTGGCAAAGGTCATGGCTACTGGTCGCCTGCAGCCGCTGTTAGCGGTCCTGCTCCCCCTGCCTCTGTCCCCTAAAACAATTCCTCAAGTAGCAGAGGCCATGTAGATAGAGCTTCAGGGTCCCTGGACATCATGGCGCCGGGCCCCAGTTTTTAATCTCCCTTAGCAGTAACTCAGACATTAAGCGTTTCAGATTCTCCCCTGATCTCAGCAAGGCATCAAGTGTTTGGACTCGGTCTTAGCGAAACGACTCCGGCCCAGAGCAGGTCCGCAGCATCCACGGCATCACCGAGTAAAACCCCCAGGAGCGCGGGCAGGTGTTTCGTGTGCCAAGACCATTCTCAGAGAAGGCAGGCGAGTTCTGCCAGAGCTAAGTTCATAACAGGAGGATGCAGGAGAGAATTGTTCTCCACTCGAGGAGCACGTGACTGCAAATAAAGAACAAGAGAGGCCACGTGCTAATGGCGTATTCAGGTGGCACCAGGGAAATGAGACCATTAGCAGGTTTGTAATTAGCCTCCCTGTCACAGATGCGCATCAGCCAAAGGGGCCAGGGAAGGCAGTGTCCTCTCTCCACCTGGAACCGTCTACAGGAATCGGCACCTGCCAGATCCAGGGCGAAGGAGAGGCAGGCAGGGGCTCCAGATGGCATCTGGGCCCGGGAGGGTGCACCGACCTCTCTGAGAGGGCGAGCATGCTGTCCTTGAGAAGGCTGGAAGGCTCTCCTTACAACGGCGGCAGTGACAGCAGGGTCCTCTGAGTGCCTTCTATGGACAGGCAACTGGTCTAAGTACAGCACCTACTGTCCACACACCTCATCCTTATTTTAACCCTGAAGAGGCAGGGACTGCTATGTTACCCAGCTAGAGAGAAGGAGGCAGGCCCAGAGAGGGAAAGTGACTTGTAGACGGACACACAGCTGAAGCTGAATTTGAATCCAAGACCACTTGACGTTTGACTTTAAAATCATGGGAACTTATTTCGTATCCCACAGGGTTGGAAATTCAAGCAACTGGTAGGATGAGGGAGAAAGAGTTTGCCTGGATAGTGCAAGAAACAAGCAGCTGCCCGTCATGGCCTCAACCTCCCTGTCTCTAGAAGCATCGCGGAGAGAGCACAGGGACAGTCGCCCCGGAAGGATTTCCCTGCCTGGCTCTGGGGAGGGGATCGTGGGCGGGGAAGCGGGGAGGGACATTGCTGGGCACGGATTCGGTCACCGCGCAGGCTGGAGACACAAGCCTGCCAGCCATGTGACAGAGAATTCCAAATAAAGACTTGTCAAGCCAGTGATGGAGGATCAAAAAGGCTAAAAGGGGACACTGAGGACTCACAGAGGTGGTAACTACAGGGGCAGCTCCAGTGCTTGGGTGGCAGGGCGGGGACCTGCAGGAGGGACCCTGTGGGGCTAAGGCGCAGGCTCTGAGGAGGAGGTGCTGCTGGCAGGCGCTGGTCTCTGTGAGGAGAGCCATGATGCTGGTTGCGGGAGTTTAAAGACTTCATAGTAGAAACAGGAACTCATTGCCCAGGCAGGAGCCCACTGCCAGGCTAAAAAGCTGCGGGGCCGACAGGAAGCTGCCTGGAACGAGGCCTGCGTCCCTGGCCTGCAGCCCCCCTCGGTCCCCTGGCAGGGCCTGTCGTGGGGCTGCTGGCGAGGCGGAAATGCGGCTTGCAGAGTCCCGGCCCAGCGTCACCCAGGAGGGCGGGAAGGGCACCTTCAAAGCTGGGGGTCAGGAGTTTCATAGCCAGCCCCATCTAGGCGTCTTCCTTCTGAAGTGACAGAATCTCACTATGTGCCAGGCACTGGGGACAGGCCAGCAAATAAGACAAAAATCCCTTTCCTTGTGGAAACGACATTTTAGAGGTAGAGCCGAGGAGGGGTGCTCAGGCCATAAACAAGCAGACAGATTCCCGGGGGAGAGGGTTTCAGAGCATGAAGATGCTCTAAAGCGAATGGTGACCAGTGAGTGATTTCTAATCAGCAGGATAGGGCCCCCTCAGCTCACTGAACAGCTCAAAATAGAACAACCAGTAAGAGGAAATAGGCAGATTCCCTGACGGGGGGCGGGCATGGCAGGGGGCGGGGGAGGGTCATGATCACTATAAAAATAATCACTGTGACTTGTTTTCCTGTTGCCAGATGCTGGGTGCTGGCTGCTGTGTGTGGATTATCCCGCTCTTGAACAAAGTCATGGGGTTGCTACTACTATTCATTATACCCATTTTACAGATGAGGACGTGGAGGCTCAGTCAGATTTGGTGATTCGCCCCAGGGGAGGAGGTCGGATCAAAGGGCCAGGTGACTGGTTTGAGGACAGTCTAGGGGATGGAAGGGAGTCAAAAACCGCCAGCCGTTCTAGAAAGAGCATAAGAAAGAGACAAAGGGCCAAGTCTGGGGATGGAGCCGGTTATAGATTTCCTATGTCTTGGGGAGAGAAACATCCAGCTGGTAGGTGGAGATGAAAGTGAGGAACTCAGGAGAGAGGGTAGGAGCTAGAATTCTCATAAATAAATGATTTTTGTAGCTGCCGAGGAAGAAAATAAATGTGGCGTCCCAGCAGGCCAAAAATATTAGCATTTAAAT